AGCTGGATACGTTTTGTTTATCTGTTGGAAAAGGAAGTTGGAGAGGGCCCTTCCCCGTCCCGGGCTCCCCACTGAAGCACTGAGATACCGGTAATCTGACGAGCGCACTTCTGGAAGCGGTTGGTCGGCAAGGAGACCCCGTGGAGATGAGCCTGGCTGCAGGGAGCGAGCGGAGCGCGGCGGCGTGCCGATAGCCCTGGTGGGATGCTCTCTGAGCACCCGCCGTCCTGCCCGGCCGTTTCGGACCCGTGGGCATCGTCCGAATCGGTAAGGAATGGGGGGTGGTGTGCGGGGTGCGTCAACGCGTCGCAGCCGGGAAGGCGGCTCTGCTGAGGGAGGTGGTGCCGTGGACGCCTTGGCAAACGAATGCTGTGGGAGGAAATGCAGAGCTCTTTGCAATGTAAATAGGATTTTAATTCAGTTTCACAGCCCCTCCCCTCATGCTGTTAAGTAAATTCGCTTTGAAGTGCAGCCCGAAGAGTTGTTATCTGCTCAAAGGCAGAACAAACATTTTGGTGTTATCGCTGCTTTGCCCCGCCATGAGGGGACCTGGCACGCCAGATACCGGTGTTGTGTCCCTGGGAGCTCATCGCTTCGCTGGCGTCCTGTGTTGAGTTTACCATGAATGAATGGTTTACATTTCTTTGTTTGAAGAGACGGAAATCCCAGGATTTCCTTTTCCCGTGTCTCCCTAGCTTAGTCCAGGTGCCTAGTCCAGCCCCGAGAGCCCTTCCAGGGCTTGCTGGCTGGGGTACCTGCGCCTTCGCAGCAGCTTGCCTTCAGCTCAGACTTCAGCCCTGGTTGGAAGGGGCCGCGGCGGAGACCTCTGCTCAGCCGAGGAGAAGCCCACTCCTGCGGTGCGGGAGGGTTTGCAGTCGGTGCGTGGCCAGCGCCGCGCAGCTCCCCGGCGGCTGGCGACCGCTCTCGCGTCGCTTTGTCGCTGCACAACGAGGAGCTTTGTTCACTGTTCTGAAAATAGTTGGCGTTGGATGGTGAAGGCTTGCTTTCTCAAACGGGGTGATGGTTAAGTGGTTTCCTCTTCCCTTCGAAATGAGTAAACTTCCAAACCACTAAGCTGGTGAGTGCTGACTGACTCACCCCTGGATTAGTGGAGATCAGAGACATTATGGCTGGTTTGCTTGGACCTGGGCTTGTTGCGGGCCGGAACGCACGGCTGCCACTGGTGGAACTGTGCCGTGTGTGTGCCGAAACCCAGCCGCTGGGTCAGCTGGATGGGGAGCGGAGCTAGGGCGAAGGGTCAGTCCTTTGTTCCTGGCCCATGCGTGCCACGGCAGCGACAGAGGACAGGCCAAACCCACCACGGTGAGAGCCCCTGTTAACGATTCCTTTCCTAACAGGATCAGCTCTTAGCAAGGACCAAGTGACTTCTGCAGAGAGTCGTCGCGGCTCCGGTTCTCCCGCCTAATCTGTTTTCGAGTCAGAAATTACCCCTCTTCCCAGGCCTTATCAGTTTTTGAGGATTTAGTGCTGGAAGGAGCCGACGTGCTGTGCTGAGCGCGATCCCAGGCGGCTGGCAGCTCCCGAGGTTAAACTGCTCTTGCCACCTCGTGCCTCGACAGCCCGTTGTTGGAGATCTCTGCTCGCTTGCTGGTCCTGGGTAGGACCTGCAGGGACATCCCTGGAGAGGTCAGGCTGGGCTCAGCGCCGTGCTGCTGGGGCTCGGCCAGGAAGAACGTTGTCCTCTTTCTCTCTCTCTCCTGTGGGAAATTTATCTTTGTCATCTATGTTTTCCATCCTCCATCTCATTTACAGCGTTCCCTTTATCTCCGCAGGCCCGGCGTGATCACCATGCAGGCGCTTTCGGAAGAGGACCGAAGGCTGTGGATGGAGGCGATGGACGGCCGGGAACCGGTGAGCAGAAATATGAGCGAAAAAGCGTCGGAGAAAACCGTGGAGAGCTCTCGGTAGCCTGGGGCAGGTTGTTTGCTGCGAAGCCGGCCGTCACGCAGCGCCTGCCAGCCGGTGCGAGAGCTGTAACCGTGGGGCAGCTCTTGCCTGCCGCCAAGAGAATAGTTTAATCCCTTGCTTAAATATTTGAGGTAATACAGTATCTCCTGTGCTTGGATTGCTTGAAGGTGGGGTGGAAAGGAGGAGGGAAGGCTTGGCCAGCACAAACACGCTGCTGTGCTGTGCTGAAAGGAAAACATGGCAAAAAGAGCAGTGGAAGAAAATATTCTGTAAGTTTCCAGGGCTTTTTTGAGTCGTGCAACTCCTCTGGCAGCCGTTTCTGGGTCTTGTAGGGAGCTGCGGGTTTCGTGTGAGCGGAGGAGCGTAGCCCCCGTTCCCCGTACTCAGCAATGGCCTCCTCGCTGC